AAAGAGGTAATATGTGATAATTGTATTACTGTTTTTCACACAGCCGACGAAGTTATATTTGTTAATTAATAATTTCAAGTTCGTCACACCCACTGTCACCGTCCCAGTCACTTGAGCCAGTTGAGGGCTGAAAATCCGAATAAACACTGGGCAAAATCGTTGATATACGATTGTATACGCAGATATACATTTTGTGTATATTCGCGGTATACGTTTAGTATACGCAGATATGATTACGTATACAAATCGTGGAATATACGTACATATGCGCTACGTATTTTTATGGTTTCTTTCGCACATGCCCGCCTTGGGTGGCACGCAGCGTATACGTACGTATTTTACATGCATTCTCGTAGTACAATTGACGTTGTTTTACGAAGTCTGTATATTTACGCATACGTGGAGAATACTGTGCGCGTGGAATTGTCCGGTTTTATTTGGTATCGCGGCCGCCAGTACTTATAATAAATAATTACCGGAACTGTCGACTCGCATGGAATCGATCTAAAAACGTCTCCTGTTTTGCCGAGTACATGTAATTGAGAAATGTCTATGTACATGTTTACTGGAATGTTTACTGGAATCTTCGGGGAATAAAATAAGCCCATTATGGCTTGTTGTCCCCACCAGTTTGTTTAATTTGGTCAGCTGAATATTAATAAATTGATGATGTATCAAATCTGCGTGATATCCATAATTTATCGAGTTTATGTTTGAACGAATCAATACTGTTACTGTCTACAATGTACTCAGGCAGTGCATTCCAATCATTGACAATACGTGTAGAAAAGAAGTTATGACGAATGGATTTGTAGCAACGTGTTTTGATAAGTTTCCACCTGTGACCTCTGGTTACAGATGAAGATAACTCAAAAAACACAGCTGGGTCAACATCACAATGTCCATGCAAGATCTTAAAGACTTGTATCATATCCCCTCTATGTCTTCTATAATCCAGCGTAGGTAGATTCAATGCAGATAACCTTCCCTCATACGATAAATCACTCAACCCAGTTACACAGCGAGTGAATCTTCTTTGGACATTTTCCACAGATCTCTTATCTTGCTTTGTAATGGGGTACCATACGCTACCACCATAATCAAGGTGGGGCCTCACCAATGCCTTGTACAATTTAGTAAATGATGATTGGTCCAAATGCCTAAAGCAACGCTTGATAAGACCACACATCCTATTAGCACTATTCACAACTTTAGCAATATGTTTACTAAATTTAAGATTGTCCTGGAATACAATACCAAGATCCTTTTCTTCATTAACCATATCAATAGGAAACACAACACCTTCTTTACTACGCATACTATAACTATAATCATCAAAGTCCTTCTTGGCAAACTGCATCACCTTACACTTTTTAACATGAAATTCTAATAACCATTTTCTTGACCACTCACAAAGACTGAAAATATCATTCTGAAGTTCTATTTGGTCCAGATGACTAAAAATACACTTGTACAACTTAGTGTCATCCGCAAAGAGTTTACACACTGACTTAACCGCATCTGGCAGATCATTAATAAAAAGTACAAAAAGAACTGGTCCCAGAACACTACCTTGCGGTATGCCACTCACCACAGGTAACCAATCAGAAAATTTACCATTTATAACCACCCGTTGATGTCTATTTGACAAAAAGTCCTCAATCCATCTAAGTAGTGATCCTCCAAATCCATATGCTTTCAACTTGTGTATTAGTCTTTTATGGGGAACGGTATCGAAAGCTTTTTGAAAATCGAAATAAATCACATCAACTTGTGCACCTCTGTCCATAGCATAAGTCCAATCCTCCAAAACTGTTAGAAGCTGGAGAATAGTACCACGTTTCTCTCGAAATCCAAACTGACAGTCAGATAGTAAGTTATTTACTTCCATATGACTCATAACAGCTGATCTCACAAGCTTTTCTAACAGTTTACAAATCACAGACGTTAAACTCACAGGTCGATAGTTTCCAGGATCCGACCTATTACCCTTCTTGAAAATACAAGTAACATTAGCCTCTTTCCATGCACTTGGAACAGTACCTTCGCCAACGGATTTTCGGAAGATAACAAATAAGGGTTCATAGATGACATTTGCCACCTCTTTAAGAAATCTAGGATGAAAATTATCAGGTACAGATGACTTGGATACATCTAAGCTCGATAAAAGTTTACGTACATCTTCCTTCGTAAAATTCACATGACATTTGCAAGTACCCTCAAAGAAATACTCAACACCAGGTAGCTCTCCATCTGGTTCATTGATGAACACAGAACTGAAGAAATCATTTAAAATGTTTGCTTTCTTTACAGAATCTGAGTGCATGATTCCATTACTGTCCATTAAATCTGGTATTTCTGATCTAATATTTATTTGTTCACCCACATACTTCTAAAATTCTTTGGGATTTTCACCAATACAATCCACTAGTCCTTGCTCATATCTAGTTTTTGCAAACCTTGTTGCCCTTGAAGCCTTATTTCTGTCGCCACAGTACGTGGCATAGTCATTGTAACTTCTAGTATAAGTGTATCTTTTCCAAGATTTGTATTTCTTTTTAACAGCCCTCAGTGCCTTATTATCCATCCATAAAGGTTTTTTCCTACCAATAGACTTAGAAATTGGGATCACACGTTGAATGCAATTTTTCATCTTCTCATCAAACATATTCCATCCATTATTAATATCCAGGGTCTCCAAAATACTCCAGTCAACACTTCCAAGTATAACTCTAGCTTCATTATATCTACCCCGATAAAAATTATAATGAACAGCATTATTCTTATTCATGAAATAAGAATACTTCAATTCAAACATTATAGAAACATGATCACTAAGTCCAATGGGATTACCATATATAATATTCTCAGCATTATGCTCATTATCTATAAACAACAAGTCCAGTAACCTAGGAGTCTGCCCATTTCTATAACGGGTAGGTTTTGATAATAATTGCTGTAAATAATTATCCCGAACACATTCAATAAACTGAAAGGATATATGATTCTCACTTCTTGATGTAGTCCAACTATCCCAGCAGATGGTTGGAAAATTAAAATCTCCAACAATACAAATACTGTTTGAAGTTAGACAGCAGTTATTTAAAAGATCAAAAAGCAACTCAGTGTTATCATCATCAGAATTTGGGCTACGATAAATAGCTCCTAGTAACAAGTTACTTCCATTATTTAACTGAACTTTACACCATACATGTTCTCTGAAGCAGTGCTCATTAATTTCTGAACAGGGGGTAATTGGTAGTCCATGTTTAGCATAAATCCCTACACCACGAGAATGCTTCTTAATAGTTCCACACCAACAGTCATAACCAGGTAAAGTATATTCAGACATATGAATCTCATCAGCATTAAAATTCTTTGGAAACATTTCAGTAATAATTACAATATCAGGATCGCTTTCCCCAATAACAACACAAAGTTCATCCAACTTATTTAGTAAACTATCAGCATTCGTATAATAAATTTTCAACTTATTTACAGTACTTTCTACAATATTAACATTATTAGGTTCCAATATCTTAGTCTTCACCGGAGCGAAAGGGTTGGTTATCATTGATACTGCATGGACATCCTGAGACTTGGTTCTCGTAAAATTAGTTGAATGTTTGTTAATTATTTTCCCTCTACTGATAACCAGCCCTGTTTCTCCTGCAGCACGTCTACTATCTAACTCCCTACGAAGAACAAAGTTTTCCTGTCGTTGTTTATATGTAAGGTGTAATAAATATTTCTGCATACTATC